AATGATATTTTCCGATTCCGGAGAGGGAGCCTGAAAATTATCTACCAAGCCCAAGGCAGCAGGCGCGCAAAGGAGGGTTACAAATAAGGCAGCAGGCGCGAGTGTTAATGAAAACATACTTTTTTTGAATAAAGAAATACATGTAAAGTGAGTTCGAATTATATCAAGGGGTTACGTACAGCGCCGTCTGCCCGCGAATAGATCAAGCAATAATGTCTATATATCAAGGAAGTTACCTACAGCGTCATCTGTCCGCGAATAGATCAAGCTTGAGAGTTACAAGCCAACAAACAAACATACATTCATACAAGTGAAGCTGATATAAAGCGTGTAAAATAAAAAAGTACAATGATTCCTACTTACGTTAATCTGTCAACATGCTGCAATGCATGTCCGAAATTGACGGAAGCGAACATGACATCACCGATCTCACCGGCGTCTATCATTCTTCTCACCTCCAAATAAGCAGGAAAACATCTAGACCATACTGCCTCCATGAGGAATAAATTCTTCTCCTTGGATATTTTGTATAATTTTTTGGTTTGCTTCTCATTCATGGTGAATGGTTTCTCACAAAGCACGTGTTTGCCGTGATCCAGCATTAATTTTGTAGTCTCAAAGTGTTGAGTGTTGAGATTTCCCACGTAGACAATATCTGCAAATTGAAAAAAAAAACATTTTCATATTTATAAGTTGTATGTGAAAGATTCAGTGGAATATAATTCCAAATTTTCATCTGTCCACACAAATTGCCTGATTTCATGTTATTTGTGTGGAAAATTGGATGGCATTGATTGTCGCTGTATAGCTTGGCTCATGAGCCAGTTATTTATAAGCGATTCTTTCATTTTCTATAACTTTATTTGTTTTGTGACCTTCAGTCACCATATAAATGGGTAAATAGGTGATTAGCGTTTGGAATAACTAACCTCACGTTTCTCCCAATACTCTACGGCATATTCTGACTGGAGTAGTAGCTTTGGAGGAAATGATTATGTTACAAGTTGATTTTTGATCGCTCATGAAGTATACATACTGTCAAATATTTTACAAATGAAAATAGGATTCAAATCAAATCTTCTCTATGAGGTAGATTTGAATGATATCAGCGATGACCATAATATTCGTGCTCCTCATGAAAATAATTAGATTTCACTCTGCAAATAATGCCCCTCCTGGGAGATCACAGTCTCTTCGATTATATTATCCAGATTATCCATTAGAAATCTACTCATATTATGAACTCTAGTGAACTAATTATGATTTCGTCAGATGGACATGAAGGAACGAGAAAGTTGCTTGTTAGTTGATTATCGATTCGTTCTTGTTTTTTATGTAGTGGTTTATTTGCCAGAAATTTGTTTCTCATATAAGAATGTCATTTATTGAACAAAGTTTCGTTCGATGAGGAAAGCATACTGATGATAGTGGAAAATAGATGCCTTAGAGCAGGGGTCTCCAAACTTTGAAGCCTTCGGGCCATAATGATTTTTTCAGTTTGTTCCAAGGGCCAAAGATATTGTAT